TCTCTCTCTCCCTCTCCCTCTCCCTCTCTCTGCCTCTCTCTCCCTCCCTCTCTGCCCTTCTCCCCTCACTTCTATTTGATTTGCTATTTACCTGTATATCTGTCTGTCGTTCTGTTCGTATTTATATATCTGTTGTGGAGCCGATAACGTTGTTTTGAAGGAAACAAATCCTTCATCAAAGAAACGCGAGGCTTATGAAGCAACAGATGTTTATGTAATCTTCAAATATATCCTCTGATATTAAATCAGAACCCATTTTTGACAACAGATGTTTATGTAATCTTACAATCTATCTTCTGATATTAAATCGGAACCCATTCTTGACCTGTGGCCACCCCTTCTCATGACTACCAGTTGACGGGTGCTGGTCAAGAGGTTTTGCCTGGGCAGTGGTGGCGATCTGGGTAGGCTCAAGGCGGGGATCGATATATCGGTTTGTGGGAGGTTAAAGCAGATGGGGGAGGAGAGCGGGGTGTTATAGATTTTTCAAGGTTACGGTTGTACTGGAGTTATCAAGGCCATTGACGCTAGTGTGGGCGCAAACTTTTGTGCCAGGTCGATGTCTGCCAAGGGAAGGTTGTGGCTTTGGAAGAGATGGAAAGAAGGCGGGGGCCGGAGGGTTCTCAAGGTCAAGAATATACAGGTTTGTTTTGCAGTTATGGGCTTTTACCCTGATGCAGAATTTTGAACGAAAATTTCAACTAAATATTTCAGTCATTAGAAAGTTACAGATGGTTGGTGCATTTTTTTCTTTGAAAATTTATTTGGTCGTTTTTCCTTCTTTTTTTCTGTTTTTGTTTTGTTTTTTGAGGGGGTTTTTGTTGGGGTTTTTTTTGTTTTGTTTGTTGTTGTTGTTGTTGGGTTGTTTTTTTGGTTGTTGTTGGGGTTTTTTTAGGGGGGGGGGTGCAACAGTGGGGTGTGGTGCAGAAAAGGGTGTCAGTGACCAGACATATGTGTGTGTCCGATATTCTCTTATTCTGTCCTCTCAGACAGTCGATTTCCCTGGTGTTCAAGTGCATTGAAATGTCGTGTCTGTTTTCAGTAGGGTCATAGATGTCTGCAGAAGTTGTACTGTAGGAGATGTACGCCGTTGTCGATGCTATTTAGATCATTTAGGAGGCGGGCTTCGATAATGCATGTCAGGGCTAACCAAAGTTGAGAGGGAGGGATACAGCATCCAAACAGAAAGACTTAAAGATACCCGCTTTTAAGTTTTCCCCATACTGGAATTGAACTTGGGTCTTTTGTGTGTCTTTGCGAAGTGCACGCCGGTCTAAAATATGCTGAAAACGAGCTGGCTAACGAAAATATAAAAGGGAATACGTTTTCGATCGTTGCAAGTCATCGTTGTACAATTTCCTACGTCAACATTGATAAGAAAGTTGATGGAGTCATTGTTTTGGGTTTTGAATATCCCCAGTGTGTACGTTTGTGTAAATTTTGATTTTGTGTTCAAATGGCATAAATACGTCAGCTTCACCTTTCTCCCCCCGTACTGTCAGGTACACAAGGCAGAGAGAAGTCGTCAGTCGACACCACTTTTGTCTGTCCGTAGCCACTTCCATCTAGCTTTGACACATCCAAGCCCTGGGTGATTGCCTCATCTCTAATCATACTCTTGTAATTGCCAGTTTGTCTACCTGCTCTTCTTTTTCTATTTGGGCTCATGTACCATGTATGATAACGCAGACTTGTCTCAGACATTCTCTAAACATGTCCTACATACCTCTATCTTCTCCATTTATGAATACGTCATCTGGTTTTACGCGAAGCAGTTTGGCACATGTTAATCTCAACATCTTTCAAAGTATTGGTATATCTAAGCGCTATGAGAAATAGACAGAACCAGTGTGCCCAGAAGATAGCTCTAAAATGCTACCCGCCGACACTTTGCCTTTGTGTGTTGTTCGTTTTGGCTTTCTTTTCTTAGACGTCTTGTTCAACCAAATGTCTGATTTCTCTCGTGACCCGTTCCTTGATTTTATAATCGAAAGATAAAAATCTTTGTCAGTATTGTTACTTAATCCTCTCCCCTGAGAAAAAAACCCTTGTAATAAAGCGTTTGATGATTTGGCGTAGACATGGCCTAATGGCGTGTATATTGTTGGTTTTCCAATTAAAGAAACGCTTTGATCTTCTCTCCAAAAAGATTGTTTGAAGGAAAATCTTGGCCAGTCACGCACCATTGCTGTGCACATTTTTCCTTTTACGCTTGTATCTGTACCTTGTGGTGTTTGGACGGTGTCACCGAAGCCCTTGTATATTTTCCCAAGCCGCTTTATTACTCTCATCAGAGATGAAAAGTCCGAATTTCTGTAACTGTCCGCGTTTAGCCCGACATCAGACATTTATATACTTATTTATACATTTATTTAAGTCTCTTTGTGCATATTATCGTGTTGCACTTTGTTCAAAAATAGCCTTGATACAAAATGTATTGAACAATTTGATCCGTAGATTTAGAGTCCCAGCGCGTGCATATCCGTGGGGGTGCGAAAAGTTCAACGCCACAATGTCGACTTTATTTTTCTGTACAATATTTTATGTATCTATACTGTCATCTATAGATATAGTGTAATATTTCTACATGTTCTTTTCTTTCCCTATCTAGGCTTTGCTACTGGAATTTGAGGAGTTCAAGCCACAGTTGGATGCTCTACGTACCAAGGGAGGGGAGATAATCCGGCATAGTTCAGACCCGGAGGAGAAGCAGACGGTGCAGAAGACACTTGCTGACGTCAACAGGCAGTGGCTCTCTCTGCAGGTATGCTCGTTTTTGTTTGCACCCTCTTGACATTTTCTTTCTTGGGAAGTCAGAATTTAGTTGGTGGGGGCTTTGGTGTGGCTTGCTCCTACCGTTGTATCAAACATAACAAAGCACCATCGTATAAGCAACCTCGCTCAATTGTTTGCTGCAACGTGATCTGCTAGATCAGGAGATCAGTCTCTTATCAGAACAATTAAAAATGAAGGTCAAAAACTCGCTAGGAGCTAGTTTTCTCATCTAGGTCTAGCTTTCTCTATCTGGAACTCCCTCCAACAGCATTTGAGGGACCCAAAGTCGGAGGCAACATTTGTAATTAATTTAAAAACATACCTCATGAAAGAAATGCCATCGTGATAGTTATTGCTTGGTGGTGGTCAGCACCCTTTTCTGCAGCGATGGGGAGTTTTACAGCAATTACGCCCCCCCCCCT